CTCAGCTGGTGACCTCGCACGGGAATGAGACGCAGAGTGACCAGGGGAGGGCGGCGGCCGGCTCTGGGGAGCCGTCGGTCCGGGTGCCAATGGGCGCTCCCCATCAGCGCCCGGCGCCGCAGAGCCGGGACTGCGCCAGTCCAGCCGCCCGCGGCAAGGTCAGTGTCCTCCCGTAAGAAGCGTCCAGGGAGTGGGCACCGCCGAGAGCTGAGTCCGCTCGCAGCTCCCGCCCGCGCCAGGACAAAGCGTTCTGCCGCCCGCACCCGGCTGGGGAGCTGAGAATGATTCATCCAGCGGCCTCGGCCCGGGCTCTACCTCCCCTACCAAGCCCAGCTGCCCACTCAGGCATCAGAGCCCACGACCCTGGCATTGGGGCACTCACCTTCGCACTACCCTACAGCGGACTGTCCAAATGAACTGTCACAAAGTGCTTGGCTGACCCAACTCTTCCTGTGTGCCGTTTTCTTAAATTATTGGGCTTTCATCGCCAGCAGCTAAGCAGTACTGTAATGTAACCCACTTTTTGCTGCAACAACCTCTTCCCTCAGACTATCCGAACAGCCAGCTTGTCTGGAGGCCAGGAATTCTGAGGGCTATACCTAACTACATGCTCTGAAGAGGGCAAGAAAAAGATCAAGTCATAAAGCATCTAGCAACTAATTATAAAGAAATAACTGATGATATGTAAATGATATGCCAAGAACGCTTAAATGTAAATTAATTTCATTTACATTTTTAGCATTTTACCTTAATTTTCTTGTGTATTCAGTTTTTATATCTCAAACACAATCACGTCATCATTTTTTGAGCATCTAGTATTTTTTACACACTGTTAGGTGCTGTAGGGGGTAAAAAAAAGAACTTGTTTTGCCCTTAACATAGTGAAATTTACCTATGGGTAATGTAAGGTAAATATAATACTACATATTGATATCACTTTTAAATAAAGTGCCAGGGGCTATTCTAAACACTACACATATATGTCATTAATTTTCACACCATCCCTTGCAGGGTATGTACTGTTAGTTTCTGCATTTTGCTTGTGATGAAAATGAGGTACAGGGAGATTAAACAACTCGCCTAAGGTCACATAGCTAATACGTGGTGGAGATGAGATTGAAATTCAGGTATTCTGACTTCAGACCCCAAGTTCTTAACCATTTTACTATACTGCCACTGAGAAAGGAGAGCTGCTAACCATTAATATAGGAGGTTCTAAAATTAGTACGCACTTATTTCTCAGGAACTACTACTCTTTTTTTTTGCTTGTGAAAATAACACAGAAGAGCAGATAGCTTTCCATATAGCCAGGGGGCCCCTAACATTCTTTAGAATTATATCACACCAATAATTTCACAGGTAGCGTTCTCTAAACTGTTTTCAGTAAGTGTTTTATTTTAGGCTTTTGTCAGGCTTATGTGGAAGACAAGGGTATAATAATATCACCATAGAAATCTGTTGGTTAGTTCCTTCATTCAAAAAAATGTATTGTGCACATATAGTATGCCAGGCACTGTGCTGAGAACTAGAAGAGGTGCAAATAAGAGTAAGATACAGTACTTTCCCCTAACGAGCTGTAATCTCGGAGGAAACAAGCATTGACTGAGAACCAAAATACAAAATAGAAAACGAGCTGTGCTCAATGCAATGGAAATTCCAAGGAAGAGAGAGACATTACTTCAAGAAGGGAGTTGGTTGGGTTAAGGAAAATGCATAATCATTTAACTTATTGTTGATCTTAAAGTATTACAAACCATATAAAATCTACCAAATTCATTTAAAAAAATTACACGCAATGTTCTCATGTTCAAAGACAGCTTTTTGCTCTACTATAAGGATTGTTTGGAGTATGGAGAAGTCAGTAAGTACAAACTTTTTGAAGATAGTTTACCTAATCTCCTAAAGTCGGAGGCACACAATAGAATGATGGTGCTTAGGATAAGATTTTCTAGGTCAAAGAAATAGTAAAAGAAAAAGCAAAGCGGGGGTGAACGAGGTAGGTCTGGGGGCAGCCAGGATTCTGACTGGATAGGGTCAAAGGTTGTTGGAGAGTAGCCTGTACCACACAGAACTGCCTTTGCAAGATAGACTGTGGGTTTTTTGTTTGTTTGTTGTTGTTTTATTTTACCTTTTAGTTATAGCAAATGTATGCAACAAATATTCTAAGAAGGTCTGAATATAAATATTTGATTCCATTTTGCCCATAAATTCTTGTCAGTAAGATTGACAAATATGGTCACCATATCCATGTTAGTGTCTAGAAAGTAGAGGTTATTGTATATTCAACAAACGTTTAATAAGGAATTGGGAAAGGCAGAGAGGAGCTATTTGATAAAGAGCTCTAAATATGTAGAAGTTTTAATATGGTAGGTAATAGGGAGCCCCTACAAGTTCTTGAGCAGGGTAGTAGCTTGTTAAAGACCACCCTAAGCATTTAGCAGTATTATCTTTCAGATGAAGAACTGAATGAGAGGGCATATGATCTAGTGTCAGTAGTTTAAACAAAAGTTTTAAAATATAAACATGAGAATAAAGGTAATTTTTCTTTAAGCCTTAGACAAAAACCTGTTGGGATATTAAAGAGAAGTGGTGGGGTGGGGAGGAGAAGTAATCAGAATGCCACTGAATCCTATTTTGCCTTCTGCATATCCTGATAGTCACCTCCAGTGGAAGAGAATCAGTGCACCCTTTTTGCTTACAATACACATCTCTTGGGGCAACTACTTAGCACACAATTCCTCTTTACTGTGAGTAGCTCAAGTGCACAGGAACAATGTCCCAGTAGCCTTCTTAGACTTAGGCAACTTGCCTCCTGGCTGCCACCAATTGATCCAGAGGTAGATAACCAACTTAAATTGGTGCACTGATAGTCTCTCCCAGAAATTTGAAACTCAGAACCAAGCAGCACAGTGCTTGGGATTTGCTAGACCTGAGTTAGTGAGAGTGTCCTGGAGAGAAGATCCTATCCACCCACTGCTGCTCTGACGCCAAAGCTGTGTGGGTCCTTGCTCTTCCTGAATCTTCGTTCTTCTTTTCCTTTCATTACTTTTTCTTATGCTTCAGTCAGCCAGTTGAAAGACATTAGGGCTGTTTGCAGTTTTTGGTGATTATGAAAAAGTCAGCAGAGACATTTACATACAGGTTTTCGTTTCACTTGGGTGAATACCTTGGTGTATGATTGACTTTATAAAGAGCTTACAAAGTGTTTTCCAAAATGGATGTATCATTTTGCATTTCCTTCAGCAATGTATGAGTGTTGCAGTTGCACCATATCCTCTTCAGTACTTGGGATCGTCAGGTGTTTTTTGTTTTGTTTTTAGCCATTATAATAAGTATATATTAGTATCTCATTGATTTTCATTGGATTATTGTAGTGACTAATGTTGGACTTTTTTTTCCTGTGTTATTTGCCATCCACATAACATTTTTGGTGAAGTGTCTGTTCACATCTTTTGCCCATTTTAAAAATTAGGTGTTCGTCTTACTATCTTTGAGTTTTGAGAGTTCTCTGTACATTCTGGAAATAAATCACACTCATTATGTGAATTACAAAAATTATCTCCCAATCAGTAATTTGTCTTTTCCTTCTCTTGACAGTGTCTTTTACAGAGTAGAGCTTTTAATTTCATCAAATCCAATTTATTGATTTTATCTTTTATGGGTTATGCTCTTGGTGTCATATCTAAGACCCTTTTGCCTAATCCAAGGTCATAAAAGATTTTGTCCTATGTTTTATAGGAAAAGTTTTATAGTTTATTGTTTACACTTAGGTTTATGATACATTTCAAATTAATTTTTGCATAAGGTATGAGGTATGGATTAAGATTTGTGATTTTATATATGGATGTCCATTGTTGTGGCACCCTTTGTTAGAAAGACTTTTTTTTATTGAATTGCCTTTGCCTCTTTGTCAAAAGTCAATTGACCATTTTTTAACTCATGAGGATGTAATATACAGCATAGGAAGTATAGTCAATAATATTGTAATAACTTCGTATAATGACAGATAGTTACTAGACTTATTGTGGTGATCACTTCATAAGGTGTATAAATGTTTAATCACTATGTTGTCCACCTGAAATTAGTATAAAGTTGTATGTCAACAATACACGAAAAAAATCAATTAGCCACGTTTGTATAGGTCAATTTCTGGACTCTTTTCTGCCCCATTGATCTATGTCTCTATCTTTTCATCGTACCACATTGTCATCTTTATTAGTGTGGCTTTATAGTAAGTCTCAGAATCAGGTAGTGTGAGTCCTTTAACTTTATTCTTTTCAGAATGGTTTGGATATTCTAGTTCCTTTGCCTATTCATGTACATTTTAGAATCAACATGTTGATTTGTACAAAAAATTCTGTTGGCATTTTAATCAGAATTGCAATAAATCTTTAGATCAATTAGAGGAAAATTGTAATCTTTGCAACATTGACTCTTGCAATCTATGAATATGGTATATTTCTCCATTTATTTAGGTTTCCTATGATTCATTTTATTAGTTTTCAGTATATAGATCCTGTATGTATTTTGTTATATTTATACCTAAGTATTTCATGTTTTTGTGCAGTTTTTGTAATTCAATTTCTGATTGTTCATTCTGATTATTTCATTGCTAGCATGAGACATACAATTGGTTTTTGTATTGCTCTTGTATCCTGTGACCTTGATAAACTCACAAATTAGTTTTAGGAGCTTTTTTTTTTTAATATAGATTTTTTCATGTAGACTATTATATTGTCTGTGAATAGAAACGATTTTATTTATTATTTTCTAATCTGTATGCCTTTTATTTCTTCTTTCCTTATTACATTGGCTAGGATTTCCAGCATAATGTTTAATAGTAGTGGTGAGAGCAGACATACAATCATAGGGGAAAAGCATTCAATTTTCAACATTAAGTATTAGCTATAGGTTTTTTTGCAGAAGTTTTTTTTATCAGTTTAAGGGAGCCTGTAAGAGCTGAGGATAGCCTCCAGCCAACTGCTAGCAAGAATCCAGGGCCTTCATTCAGTGTTACAGCCCCAGAAAGTGAGTTCTGTCAACAATTTGAGTGAGCTTTTAAGTATGTTCTTTCTCAGTGATATTAGTTTCCTATTGCTGCTGTAACAAATTCCTACAAATTTAGTAGTTTAAAACAACACAAGTTTATCTCATAATTCTAAAGGCCAGAAATCCAAATGAGTCTTATGGGGCTAACATCAAGGTGTTAGCAGGGCTATATTCCTTCTGGAGGTTCTGGGAAAGAATCAATTTCTTGCCTCTTCCAGCTTCTAGAGGCCACCATGTTCTTTGGCTTGTGCCCCTTTACGCTGTCTTCAAAGCCAGCAATGGCTGGTCAAATCTTACATTGCATCATTCTAACTTTTTAATCCCATTGTTACATCTTTTTCTCTGACTTGCCTGCCTACCTTTTTCTCTTATAAGCATCCTTGTAATGCACTGGGCCCACCCAGATAATCCAGAATAACCTCCTCATTTTAAGATTCTTAATTTTAAAAAATTTTATTGAGGTATAATTGAGATACAACATTATGTTAGTTTCAGGTATACAATACAATAATTCAATATTTGTATATATTCTGAAATGA